AGTCCAAACTGTTCACAAGGAGGTTAAATAATAAACTGCATAATGTGGGTTAGTAACCTGCCATTCACAGAGTGAAATGCAAATGAGCAAATGATGAATTCGTGCCAGGATGGACAGAAGAAATAGGGGAAAAAAAGGTAGGATAAAGGTTGACAGGGAATAAAACGCTGGTGAGCTGCTTGAGGAGAGGGAGAGCTGACGGGGGCAGTGTTTTCACAAGACCCACTTGACTTGGACTTGAAGAGGGCCAGGTGGAATGATTACAGACGTGAGCTGGCTGCAAAACAAGCTGCATAGAATAGTAGGAGGATGGATGCAGATGTACAGAGAATTCACGGGGGAAAAGGGGGAAAAAACACGGGGAAATATTGCTTGTCGTTGTCGTCCAATTCGGGCGATTCACAATGCAGTGCGCCACTAAGAGCTTGCCATGGAGAGTTCATTTGGTCGACAAATTTGCAGCGCGGGACATTTCAAATTGTTCGTTTTTCCAGTCAGTAGTTTTTCGTAAGCGTACGATTTGAGTATATGTTTCCCGTTTTCTTTTCTTTTTATCAATATGGTGATTTTTGGTAAGCCGGCAGAACGCTATGCCCCAATCTATAACAAATTAGCCCAAGTTGTCTACTGACACTCATTCAAATGGGCCATGTTTTGTCGACTGTAAACTTGAAAAGTTGACTGGCAATGGCAAACTCTTGATGGCGCACTGCATTGTGAATCGCCCGAATTCACAGCGTGTCGGTCACATGCAACATTTATCCAAGAAGTAAGTTAATAATTTGTTAACTAAGCTTATTACCAACTGTAGACGATATCATTGGAACTGCTATGAGCAAAATTTGATTCTTACGATTCAGGTGGATGAAAACGGAGATGTATGATTGGTTCCAAATCTTTTTGGGACAGAGGCTTATGATAGGCCTATGCTTTGCATGTATACTCATCAGTGACAGCTTATGTACAGTAATTAAGCATCATTCATATCACGGCCCAGGAAGACCTGTTATGATAAAAAAAAAAAAAAGCTGGGAGTTTTTGCTGTTTCATTTTTCCTTGGTGACACCAAACCTGAGCTTTCGATATTTGCATTTAAGCACAAAGCTGTGCTATTTGTCAAAATTTAGTGTACTTTGTAAAGTTTATGAATTGAAACAAGTATCTCCTCTTTTAATACAGTTAGCCTCAGGCAGGCTACTTAAAGGGAATGTACAACATTTGCTCTTGATGCAATTTTCAGGAGTAAATGGATTTGGGGGATTAAGATGTTATTGCAAATATTGTTAAACTGACTTGTTTCACGTTTTGGGCTTGAAGATGCTGAAAAAGCCAAAAATACCAATAATGCTATTGTTGTCTGGTTCACTAACCCCACTTAACATCAACAGAGCAGTTTGTCGACTTTGGGAATTGTAAGGTCAGAGAATCACTCCAGCAGGCTTGTACCCCTCCACAGGTGTGCAATCAATTGCAAAGAAAATGCGGAAAAGCTAATTATGAAAAATTAAGAGCAGTTTTAAAAAAAAGCCAGTTTTTTTCCAACGCTGGTCGGCCGACCAGCGTTGAAAAAAATATGATTTTCTTGAAAATGTCAGCACACCAGGAGCCACAAGTTTACAGGATGATTTAGACTGTCATTCCCTAACAATCAAGTAAGATATTTCGTGATAATTTGATAATTTTGTTTTTTTATGTTTGCAAATGTTGTATCTACCCTTTAACTACACTGCTGTATCTCATGGGAAAAACATGATCTTTGACACGTATAACGGTTGTGACTGTACATTTCACTGAAAAACTAAAATGGTACTGAAATCTGAAACTATGTAAATATTTTCTTTAAGATATACTGTGAAATTTTTTATCAAGTTTTTGTTGTTGAACTATCTGAGATTTAGCAGTTTTGCTTCTTGGAGCATCTCTGGATCTTGGAAACAAAGGGACCTAAATGGTGAAGAAGCAGCTCATAGGCAGGGTCTTCACATTTGCCAATTCTTAACCCTGAGTCCCTCTGCTCTTTTTGCAAGGAACCATCCTCAATCCTCCAAAATCCTCCAAAATTTTGCACTTATGTTCAAATGAAGGATACCCAGTGCCTCAATCCTTAAAATAGTCAGACAGTCCTGCCGCAAAAAATACATTCATCCTCAATCCTCCAAAATCCTCTTCAAACACCATTCATCTTCAATCCTCCAAAATCCCCATGTTTCTAAAACACCATCCATCCTCAACTCTCTAAAATTGTCCCAAACCACCATGAGCACTTCACTTTCAAAGCACAAAATGTTGTTAAAAATTTGCCCTTTCCTGATATATTCCGATCCATTCCCTGTGCACACTGATGATGCAGGATTTCACAGAAAAACACATGAAAACAATTCCTGGAACTAATTAACAACTTCATCCACGATACAATTAAATTGCCTAATCCATGCGTCAGTAAAGGTGAGATCATAATTTTGGTTATAAGCCCTATATAAATGAAGTCTAACACATTCTCACTGAAAAAAAAACATTCTTGGAAATTTAATTTCCTTGATCGGGAGTGACTGACCTACTGGTACTCATGATCCATGAACAAAACTAATGAAGCAACCAATCCATCATGATGGGCATACTATTCATGATATTCAGACCAGATTGCTACTATGTATGGATGAGAAATTTACATGTACATTTTTACAAAGGTAGAGTATATCATTTGCAGCTATCCAAAAAGTAACTGACAAAATTATTTTTGAAGAGCGTAGGGCCTACTTGGTTTAAAGATAGTAATGGCACTAAACTCCCTGTGAAATTATTCTTTCTGGCGTAATGTCATTTTGAAGAAAACAATAACAGAAGATTATTTCCAAAGATGCATCTAAAGACAAATTTTTAGAAATGTCCGTTAGTAGTCTTTTTTAATTTGGCAAAGCCCTGAATGGGTGCGCACGCAACCCCTGACACGACGCACACGCACTTGCTATAATTCGACAGTTCAGTGCGTCACATCGTGTAGTTGCAATCGGCTGAATGACAATGTGTCCGGACGCTGATTTTGGGCGCAATTCAAAACATGACTCGGCAACTTTTGAATCTAAATCGAGATCCTAGAATATTGTTTTCTTGGAATATACAGCATTCACTAAACTAAAACTTCATCAGGTTAGTTGTTCAGCACCCTTCTTTAGATTTTTAATTACTTTTGTTGCTTCAAACGAAAAAAGAGCACAAATGACAAATATGTACTCTACCTTTAAAAACACAGCAATTTAGAAAAAATCAAACTTTCATGTGAGCTGCACTCCAGTTTTATTTTATGATATGTTAAGATTTTCTTGTAGACTCTTTCAGATTAGGTCATGTACATGTACATGTACACCAAGTACCTCTACCATATCGCTTAGGGGATGCTGGGGCACGCAACCTTTGTGTCCATCTTTGTTCCTTATGGTAGTAACCCTTGGCTTTCAGCCTTGTCACAGGCAACCCCCATATGGACAAAAAGTTTGTAAACCTATATACATGTATGTAATTTAAATAAGAAGCACCCACATCCAAAGAAGATTAATTTTATGGCTGACAACCATCTGTTGTATTTTTTATATGATTTTAGCATTGGTTGGGTTTTGATACAATTTTGTGTTCATTCGTTTGATCCGGTTTACAATTCCTGTTTGACCTGTTTTACACAATGTGTTTGGCCTGTTTTACAATGTATTTGGTCATTTTGTTGTAGTTCCTTTATTGTATGGTTATTGGGTTGATTGTTGTCTGTTTTGTTGGACAAATATGGCAGTTTCTTTTCAGCTTTCATATTTTATTTTGCTGATTATTATAAACTTGGTTTTATTTTGACATATACATTTGTATATTTATATTGATGTACTTTGGTTTTATCTTTTGCACAGCGCTTTGTGGTTTTTATAAATGGAAGGCCCTATATAAGTTTTTAATTGGTTGAGTAGTCGCACAACAGTTTTCGAGCACTAAATGTATGAAAACACTTAAATGAGTTTGAGCAATAACAACATTTTGAGTATTTTAAACATCTTTGACTGGGATGACCACAAATTTTACAAGGCTATTTGTGTATGATTTTATATCCATCACAATATAGTTGGTGAAACAGCTCAGCCTGCCATTTTAAAAACAGTTTTGATGGTTTTGTCAAAAACATTTTGGAATCGGGCAGCAACTTCAAAATTCTTTCACAATTAACAAGCATTGCATTTACCTCAAAGACTTATAAGCTGTTATTTTCTCTTATCTACCTTGATTAGTTGAGCAATAACAGGCTGTTATGAAAAATCATGATTAGTGAGTGAAATTGTTCACTTTCAATTGTTATGCCTTAGCTTACGACACCTATATTGACTGTGTATAAGTAACATCATCAATTGTTCCATAAGTCACAGACTTACGGACAGCAGAAGCACCTTGACCCATTTGTTCCACATATCTGGTGGTCAGCAAAATTATGTAAATTTCACAATCCGGTCATGTCATCACTGCATGCTCGAATGCCCCATTCAATGGAGAAACCATTGTGCAATCATTGTACAAAGCAACTGCCGCATGACAGACTATCTGAACAATATCTAGCACAATGCTTTTGCCATTGAAGGGGCCATCATGATAGAATTGATACCATGCCCAGATTGATCTCTAGGCCTATGGGCTCCGTGTGCCAACAAAAGAGGGCGCCCTTTTACCTAGCAACAACGTCCCATGGGCGGGACATTTAGCTGGTTGACGCGCACCGTTCCTTGTGTGTGGTGCACGTACACCAGGGGATTTGTACTATGACTATGTACACGCAGTGGCCGCGCTTTGCGCTTCTCGGCAAAATTGCAGTCAGGCAAGATGGCGTCGGTCGGTCACCCCCAACTGTACTTTCTTTGCTGGTGAGGGGGTACTTGTGAACGGAGCAGAAAGGCATCGTTTCACAAACTGAATTCTATGGCTTTACATGTACAAACACTGAATGCTTTTTTTTAATTTAAAATTTGACTCACCTTCAGGCGCCACATTGGAGTAGACAAATCTGAGTCTATTATACTGACTGACATGTCCATGCCAATGAACGTAGACTGTTGCTTGGGTTGATAAGACATCTGTGACATCAGTGCTGTTGCCTTGTACCAAGAGGAGAAGGGGTGCTTGGGAAGTGCTGCCATCACGAACCTCCAAACTACCTGACGCATTAATGCTTACAGCTGAAGACAAAACATAGAAAGTTTTGAAGGATGATTATAAATTTCATTTTAATATCATGTCATTTTGTCATGGTGGAGTTTAAGGATGAATCATAAAATACAAAAGAATATGTACATTTGGCAGCGGAATTAGGTATCACCTAAATGCGTAACTTTCTTTGCTTACACTTGCTCACAAGAGATCATAGTGGCACTTAAAACATTTTTTTAAAAAGTAACTGAAAGAGAGAGAGGGACAAGACGGTTACCCACGATTCCAATATTTTTCGGTCGGTCAGGTGACCGCAACAATTTCTTGAGGGGGCCTTGCCCTGTGTGAACTTTTTCTTATGTGATTTTTTTTTCTCTTCTTTTTCTGCAGAAAGGCTGATTGATTTCCTCAGTCAAAACTAAAGAAGAATCAGCACTCAGAGTTGTAACGAGTCAATGATTTTTTGTGACTCAAGGAGTCCAGTCATTTTTAAGAAGTGACTCAATTCGAGTCAACTCATTTGGTCAAGAAGGTTGAGTTGAGTCAAATTGAGTCAAATATTTAGCTCGAGTCAATTTGACACTACATGTATATAACAAATAAAACTAGAGAGAAAGTCATTTGTATCATTAACAGTTAACAAGAAGTGAAACTTCGAGCCTATGAGCTCCATACGCTACCAAAAGAGGGTGCCCTTTCACCTAACAACAACGTCCCATGGGCAGGACATTTCGCTGGTTGACGCGCACCGTTCCTTGTGTGTGACGCACGTACACCAGGGGATTTGTACTGTTTACACGCAGTTGCAACGCTTCGCGGCAAATGAATTGCAGTCAGGCAAGATGGCGTCGGTCGGTCACCCCCAACTGTACTTCCTGTGCCGGTGAGGGGGTACTTGTGAACGGAGCGGATATGGCTTCGGTTTGGTTTGGCTTCGGGTCTAGAATTTTTTTCACTGATTGCTGACATCAAAACAAAATTGCACTATACAAAACTGTTTGTGATTATTCAAATCCGATTCCTGGATAGTATTTTGTGCCACGAGGTGGGAGTCTGTGACACGTTGTATGTTTGTACAGTTGTGTATTCCCAAAGTGACGTGAACATAAAATTGGCATTGTAAGTCATTGCAAATATTTTTTCGCAAAGTTTTGCTTTCATTTTTGGGACTTGAGTCTTATTAGCCTTCGTTCGAGTCGAGTCAAGTCTTCTGATGAGGGACTCAAGTCAAGTCGAGTCATTTGCTTGCAGTGACTCGAGTCAAGTCAAGTCATTTGCCCTTAGGGACTCGCTTCAAGTCGAGTCATCAAAAATTGTGACTGGAGTTGGACTCAAGTCGAGATATCACAACTCTCTCAGTACTTTTCAAATCATGAACTCGGTGTTAGTATTGAGTCTCCTGAAGTGACGTGTAAATTCATCAGACTTGAAACTCAAATATATAAAAGAGAAGCTAAAAAATGGTCTGGAATTGAACTAATATGTGTATTGGTGAAAAAGGCCCTCATATGGCAAGATTTGTAAGCTCTTATTTCTGAAGGAGTCACTTTTTTGTTTCTTTTTGTAAAAAGAAGTTGAGACTCACAGGCAGAATCCAAGTTTCAGATATATCAAACGTGCAATCATTGTTATTCAATATGAGTAAGTGTCATTCAGAAATACATTTAAAACTTGCATGAAATATATGTATGTAAAGCCGTTAATAAAATCTTTAAATCTGCTGACTTCTCCTATCTTCAGACTCGATGCCACTTCTCTTGTAAATACAATTCATCCGATTAGAGAACTTCGACGCTGCGCGTCTGAGAATATATTACTGGGGCCTTATAACACTGAAAGTTGTTTTGTAACAAAGTGGATTTGAGACGACCTGTCAGTTCTGCACTGAGGCTCCATACATTTAATGAATTTATACATTTAAATTGTTTCCCCTGATGACTCACCTGTGCTAAATATTTTGTTGCATTTGAACTGTTTTTCACTTAAGTGTTGAAAATAACATTTTTGTGTCAGTCTGCCATATTTCGCTGTAATAATGAGAATTTTTTTCTTGAAACCCATCATGTAACCCCAAAACAGACAATTACGAAAAAGGGGCTAGTGTTGTGGGGGTGGGAGGAGAGGGGGGGGGGGGGAGCGAATGTCTTCCTTGACTCCCATCTTTGCTAACTGTTCAGGAGCCGAAATGCAAGAAGATAATGAAGTGAGAAAGGAAAGAAATAACCCCACTTTGGGGGAAAATGAGGGGGAATGATGGAACCAAGTTCAGTATTTTTGTGTAATAAAAAGTTGAAGAGTAAAAGCACCAAAAACCAAATCTACCGGAAAAAGAATTGGGAAAGAAGAGGGTGAATGACACAGCAAATGTAGATCACACTGGCCCTCCCCAAAGACAGTGGTTTCAACACAGGTTTCTAGCTAATTAATAGAACATCAAAAGCACATCGTACCCAACCAGGTATTCAGTATCTTGTTTAAAAATGCATCAATTTTGAACAGTCTCATATGTATTTAGAGTGCACTAACAGTACAACCATTAGTTGAGACAAGTGTGGTAAATTGTCTGTGAATATCCAATGTCCGACTGCAATTCATTCCCTTACAGGAACTCATCAACACAGGTGTCACTGGGGGAAGGGGGGGGGGGGTGTAATCCCCCATAAATCGCTTTTGTTAGCAAAATTGTCATTCCTTCAGCAAACATGTGTGTAACAGCAAATATGTGATGAAGAATAGCACCACCTATGGTTTGATAGTGTCCAAGCTTGTCGGCATTGAACAGGGCCCCAAAATTCTGATGCTAACCCCCCGCCCCCCCCCCCCCTTTTTAAAATTTGTGAGTGGCCGCAGGTGACCAAAAATATTTTCCATGCTACCTTCCAGCATGGCTGGCCAGTCAGTAAATTGTTGTCATCCAAACCCCCCCCCCCCCCCCCCAATACAATTTGGTCTGGCAACATCCCTGTCATCAACTTGCTTTTAGGAAAGCCAAAAACAAAAAGTTAAAATAATCTACAAATAAGAGGAAGTTGCAAAAGCACTTAGAATAACAAAAATAGACTTGCTTGAAAGACAAAAAAATAACCCAAAATACAAGCTTCTTTCATGAACATTTTGAATATGACATACAAAAGTATTTTCCCCATGGAGATCACAGAGGCTGGCACTGACCACAATGCTTTGTGGATACCAATTATAAACCCAGATTTTGCAAATGTTCCCTCATCTACAAATTAAGCAGACAGCTCTAGTAACTAGAGTTCAGGAGAATGGCATCTCCCAAAATCCGAAACAGTCTAATGAAGCTTTTTCCTGTTCATCAAAAGACAAAAAATAATACCAAAGTTTGGCAAAAGTGGAAGACAATATGAATCCTGGCATAAGATTAGTATCATTCGGCAAAAAGTGTGAGCTGTAAAGAAGAAGAAAAGTTGTGTTGAATTGTTTATTAGATGATGAGACATAAGTACAAACATTTAGGTTATGTCAGAAGTGTTTGTCTGCAATGCCACCCTTTGTTATTTGAATGAAAAGCAATCACTTAGTCATGCCCCTGTTCAGATGGGCTTTTGATCATAGTTTCTTCAGGATAGTACTAATAAAATGCAAATGCAAATTGCTTCAGTGCCAGTGTTCCTTTCTAGTAAAGTGCACAGTTTTTTGGTCACCTTGGGCATTTTTGATTGACATTCTGTTTTTGCAGTTATCACAATGACTTCATCTTTAGCACCTTTCTATAGGTAAGTGATCTATTTATGCACAAACTTGCTTGCAATGTTCAGGATGCAGCCCGGGGGGGGGGGGGGGGGGGGGGGGGGGGGGGAGGGAGAATAGGCCATTATTTTTTTAATTAAAAGAAGCAGCCCCTCACAGCCGCTAATAGTAGTACTTATCCTTAAGGTTGATGCTCTAATAGTGCTACCTATTATGGGATAGTAGTATCCAATGACCAGTTGACCGGAAACAAACTTCCTGGATACTTTGTTTTGGAAAACTTGCACGTGATGCCCCCAGACGAAAAACCTGGTTACTGACGTAGTCATGGTAACAATTAAGTGTGCAACAGTTTAGGCAGTACTGCATAACATTAGGCAGCAGATGAAAGCAAGCAGGTACAGGCTGATATTGAGGACACTAGGGACTCCTTCACAAGAATAAGAAAACACTGTTCTCTATTTTTTTATCAGGAAGATAATGCCCAACAACACTGCTAGACTTCCAAATGATCCCCAGGATAAGGAACACTCGTGCACATGTTTCATGGTGTAGATGTCTGAAAGGGACTGGCAGGTGTTGAAAAAATGGGTGGAATGAAAATCTGAAACTGAATCGATAGAATCTGCAAAAGCTTCCTTGACATAACAAACGCCTAAATTGAATTTTTTTTTAAAGGGACCATGACATGAATTTCACTTTGGATTTTGGAACATATTTTGTGCAATTTTCTATTTCTTTTAAACGTATAACTACATGAATTTGCCATAGCTTTTGGGGTTTTGGGAAAAGTGTACTTCTTTAAACACTTAAAATGTGCTTTTCCTGACAACTGACAGCACTGTGGATGTGATGTCCTTTTAGGCACAATCTCTGTACTTTAGCAGAGGACGCACTGCATATTGTAAATAAGTAACAGGATTTAGGGCCTTGCTGGAAAAACTATGCTTGACCGCCCTGTTAAATTGTTGCTTGCTATTGATCATTTGAAGAATTTTTTTTTTTTTTTAACCACTACTTATCCATTCATATGCACACAAGTTGAAACCAATTTCTCAACTTCTCCATTTTTCAATTCTAGATGGTATTTCCGTTCCATACTTTTTTGCACGTTTTGCTCATGTTCCATAGCACTTTACCAGTACAAATCAGCCACCAAAAATGACAAATCACGAGGATAAACTTTAAAATCTTTTGATTGAATTACTGCACAACGGCATGTCAAAAATATGATACTGATACCAATTCAATTTGAAAAAGAATGGTGATTGCTCAATAGAGGGCGCTACAATCCACACTCTGTGGAGATCACGGGCCGTCATTATTCCACAATCATCCACACTGACAGCTGAATTCATGAGGCCGCAGGGAGGCACGTACATAGTAAGGGCAAATGTACCCTAATGTGTATGTAGCCTTAAGACTATGCAATCCTCACAATAAATGTTTGAACAAGACAACCATCCATTTTGTAGGGAACTTTTTTAAAGATTTTATTTGCCGTTTTTATACCAAAAAAAATCCTGACTCTTGATGGCTTTAAGCAGCAGCAATGCATTGCCAGAGCAAGATATATCTGCCATATTTTACAAGAAGCAATCACAGTTCAAGTGTATGGATAAGCTGTATCCTTCTATTCTGACAAATCAGTTCAAAACAAAAGTGCACTAAAAGAACAATATCCAAGCAAATGGTTCTAAAGCGGCAAAAACAAGATTGGATATTGTCAAGGTGCATAACAGTTATCCTATCCTAAAGTTGCAAGTAATACCAAACTAAATCCTAGATTTTGAAAGCAATGATTATAAGTGATTATCAGTTAACTTCAAAGAGCTTATTGATCCTTGTGTGTCACCTTTAAAGCTGACGTAAGAGGTCTGCTTCAACCTATACCTATCTTTGAAGTAGTCAACAGTTCTCACTAGAGAACTGTTTTTCTAGAGTAATTTTTTTGGAGCAATTGTTTTTCTAAAACCACTGAAGTTATCTGTATTAGAAAGCAATATAAAAATTGGAAATTAGTGCACTTTGTCCTCTTTCCCTTTTATTTTTGATAATTGGCAATCAGGATCTGTAGTTTTTTATACGGTCAATTAGTCACTAGAGCTCATTTTATGATGCTCTAAAGCCTTTTAGAATTTGCAGCAAAAATTTTCAAGGAGGAATCACTATTAAATTTGTGAAGTTAAGATGCCTTCTGCAGAGGCAATTACTGCTCATGTTTGCTTCCCTATGGCACTAAAGATGACTGTGTCACATTTGACATGTACATTTTTATTGTAGAAGTAAATTTTTTGTGCAAGTTGCTCCTTTGAATGAATGAAGTTTCCCTCAAAAACCAGTGTGTGTAAAATTATTTTATTTCCCTTATTGTGATTGGATAATAGTTTAGGCCTAATGAACATTCAAGAGTGCCCTGCTTTTACATCCTTTTCTTTTCTCAGTTGGGTGAATTTTGCCTTAATTAAGGGTATGTGGTGGTTCACGGTACCGGTATATGTGGGTGCTACTTACTGGAATGTGCCTATTGTTGAGCGCCATGGTAAGTGAAGCTTGAGGTGCAGTCCAGTCAGTTTGGACCAGTGTCTCTTGACCAACCACAGCATGGCTTTCAACAAGCTTTTTCTCTTTCTGTTATGCCATGAAATGAAAGCCGTGCTGTAGTTGGCAACAAAATTAAAGCACCCTCAGTCGACTGCCAATGATGGAAGATGGCAAAGTGGAGATTCCTGTCATGTTGGTAAGCGAAATTCTCATCGATTTTACCCTTTTTTCAATATTACATTTATTTCCATACTGAATAATAACATAATAGAAAGCAAAATACAATATTGTGGAGGCACAATCCTAATAAGCCAAGGCTTGTAGCGAAGTGTCTTTAGAAAAGAGATCAAAGACATGAAATAATAAAATAGTTAGTTAATTAAGTCAACGACAAAGATAAACAAGAGGACAAAGTAAACTGACCAGAACTTAGATTAAGAAAAATGACTAGGGGAAAAAAACGTAAAAACTGCAAGAGAGATGGCAACACTGGAGAACAAACCAAAGGAGGAGAAAAAAAAATCTATGCTACATATTGGTAGATAAGATACTCTTTGAAAGAGTTCGTAAAAGAGCCCACAGCGGTTTTGGGATATAATTGATTGGTCAATGCTATTCCAAAGACTGGGACTGTAGAAGCGAAGTGTGTTCTTGTACTGAGATGTGCGCGTGAAAGGTATGTACTAGGTTGCTGTGTGATCTAATGTGATAGTGGTGAATGATGTTAACTGGAGTAAAGAAAGAAGAAAATGTAGCAGGTAGGAGATTATTAGTAAGCTTGAACATGAAAATGCCAGTTTGAAGCTTATTAATATCAGACAGGGTGAGAGTGTGTAATATGACAAAAAGAGGTGCAGTATGACCACGTGGTAGGGAGTGAGAACAGATCCGAATGACCCTTCATATGCAATTCAGGGACTTGAACCCACCCTATATGTACCTGGCCATGTCAAGATAAAACGTGTGAAATACTGGGGCCAAACAATTTGTGACAGGAGAATTAGGAGTTTAAAAAAAAATGACAATTTTCTGCCACAGCAACTTTTATTGGTCTAGATCCTTACAGTTCTGGAGGTAACTGTAACTTAAACAATTTGGTTTATATTTGTTGTTATGTTTATGCTGATTCATCTTTTATATCATTGTAATCAATTAAACTTAAAATTGTTAATATCATGTGTAAGATTATGGCATTTTGTTAAGGCATTTAAGATAACTCTGTTTTTAGGACTGAAAATTGAAAATTTAAATTTAGTAAATTGCATTTTGATATAACGTTCATTCTCTAGATGGCACTTAATTCTGGGGTTTGAAGTTGAGCCACTTGTGTACCCTTTCTGTTGTGTGCTGGATCAACGGAATCTGTTGTGTCCCTGACTGATGGGAGGTGACGTAACTACTGTGTCTTTGTCGATGGGGAATTGCGGTGCAGTACTATATGCATCGAACATGACCTCATTAACACCAACTTCATCAATTACCTTGACAAACCGAGAAGTTGTCCTTTGAACATTTTGAATTGTTAATTGCTGTGTTGAAACATATTGTGCAAATTCTGCTGTAACTAAAATTTCCTGGTTTAGAAGAAAGATTAACTATAATTATTTGTTGCACAAAGTAAAACTTGGTTGCAAACAATAACAGTTTGATAGTGCTTGAATATTGAAGGTTTGTAGAAGAAATTTGAAGAATTACAGTACTGCAAGGAATCGGTTGAGAAGAGTGGTTGTATTTTCTGTATATTTCAACTCCACTGGCCCTATTGAGTGATAGAGGAAGGTTGTAAAAATGTGAAATTTGGAAGGTGTATTTAAAACACTTTGCCTAATTTAAAGATTTTAGTGAACATTTTGTTTCGAAATCGGAATTGAAAATTTGAAATTGGAGTGGACATTTTATGAAATTTGAGATTGTAAAATTATGGGACACAGATTCAAAGATTGTGGTGTTGAGGGAAATTGAGATACTATTCCTGGAGTTTGGAAGAGAATTCTGAGATGGTTTGAATTTGAGAAACACCTGAAGTTGGAGGAGAATTTCATAGATTGTAAATTGATTGGAATTTGAGAACTACTTTCCTAAATTTGGAAGTGCACTGAGTAAATTGTCAATTTACTGGAAGTTGAGAAACACCAAATTTGGAGAATTTTATTCATTGTGAATTGATTTGGAATTTGAGAAACCCGTACCTGAATTTGGAAGGAATTTGAACCAACTTTGCAGAAGCTGATTCATAGAAATTGAGTACTCGTGTTCAAAAAAAACCCCTTGTATTTTTGAAACGTGGATTTGTATATAGGCCGATGTGAATTTATTTTGGAATTTGTTAAGATTTGGAGGCAATAAATTTACCTGCATTGTATATAGAATGATGAGAATTGTGTAGTTCCTTGCTGTGCTCACAAAGTGGCAAAAAAACGGAAGAATCGAAATTTTTCGATTTTGAGTTTTGCAAGCCTATTTATCAGATTTGTCTCAAAGAAAAATTAGACCCAGTTTCAAAGAGAGTTTCAAGAAATTTACAAACTGAAAAATCTCAATGGGTTCACTTCAAAGTGTGAAGAACAAGGAATAGACCTACCTGTACTTGTATTTTGTTTGTTTGAAAGAAAATGCAGTTCAGATATGTTTGCAAGTTCCATTTTTTCTGCTATTCTGCTAAATGCACACCAGAGATTCAGCAATTTTTTCTGCTTTTCTGCTGACAAAAAAAAGTAAATTTTACTGCAACAATCAACAGTGAATCAGGTTTGCTGGTGGCGGAAAAGCAGAATATGTATTTAGTTAAATTGCTAAATCTGTTTGAGTGCTGTTTTGATTGTCCAAAATTTGATCCACCATAAAACAAAAACCTTAATTGCTCTTCTTGTAGCAGAACAGCATAAAGGCAGACAATATATAGCGCTGACTGTTCATCTTCTGTTCTACCAATATGATGAATAGGATAAGATGGTGGCCATCATAGGCAGCAGCAGGAGGGGTGGGGGCAGGACCAGTTGCCCCCGCATTTTGAATTGTTTCCTTTGTATACACCCAGTTTTGGGTGTAAAGTGGAATGCCGCTATAAGGAACATCGTGGGATCCACAGAAATTGTTCATCATAGCAATCGTTTGGTATAGCAATTTTAAGCTGCAGGTGCTCCGGTACTCACTTTCAATAAATAGCGCCCTTCTTCGACCTGTACACCCTGGTAGTTACTGAAAGACCACTTTGAGCATGTGTCAACTATTGAATTATGTAATCACACAGTTTTTGAGCTTACTACTTCAGCAATGGGTGGCTTTCCCCTTCTATTCCTTGGGGAAATAATAGCCACTTGTCGCTCTTCCACTGACATTTTTTTAACAACAATGTTCAACAATATCAACCAGAGGTATAAACTCGACGTTCCGGTCAGTATGCTTTGATTGTCTTCAGAACCATTCTCTTAGTTGAGAAATTATTCGCCGCTGTTTCCGCAAACCTTTCATTATTTAATGTTCTGTACGTTTTGTACACAATAATTGGGAGCCAAGGATGATGTTCGGTATAGCCAAATGTTCGGTATGGTGGTGTTCGTTATAGCGACGTTCCACTGTACCCACTAGAGAGACATGATCAGAAACATTCCACCATTGCTGATTGGTTGCCTTCATACATTACTTACCTAAGAAATTGAGCAGTAGCCTGTTACCGGGTCTACCTCTGAGATACCACAGGTAGTCAACCCACTCTGTGTTTGCTCTCAAGATGTTGATGGAGACATGGCCAATGTTGGCTACCTCATAGGCTGTGTTCTGGACTGTCACACATAAAATGAAAAGGAACAAACCAAGACATTCATTAGAAAAGATTACGTGAGGCGTCAAACTGTAAATGCCTAATGCTCAGGTTATAAGTACTAATCACCAGGAGCTATTCTTGTCTAATACTGCAATCGGCAGGGTTCCAGAAAATAGAAATAATATTCCATGACTTTTCCAGGACAAAATAGGGGCTTTCCATTTCTATGCTGTCTTGGCATCTTATTTAAGGAGCCTATAGACAATAGAAGCCACTCCATTTCAGCCTTCCAGTTTGACCAAAGAACACCACAAATTACAGCGTCACAATGGTGCACTGAACACGCAACAAGTGTAGAGCATACATGCGAAAAGAGAATTATATTAAACTGGAATACAAACTGCCATAGCTTAATATAACACATCATCATATACTGGTTGTGCAGGATTCCATGCCTTTATACATGTTTTTTCCCCTGAAATTTAAACTTTCCAAGACTTCTTGTATTAAAGATAACAAAATTTTCATGACTTCCAATGAAACCTTTGAATTGCTGGGTTTTCCTGGATTTTGTCATCACTGACAAGGTTTCTCCAAATGGCTCTATCTTGGGCAGCCTCACATATCTCATTAGGTGTAAGGATTACATTTTTAGAGAGTTGTCTGACAATATACTGTGGGTACATCAAAGTAGGTCTGCCTTTCCTACGGTTCCCATGGACAGGTGTCCTCACCACATGTCCTAGCAATTTAAAGGGCCCATGACATGGATCTCACTTGGGAACATATTCTGCACAACTTTCTAATCCTCTTAAATGTATGGAAACTATTTGACATTCCTTTTTGGTAAATTTGATTGAAAAGTGCACTTTTTGAACGTTTAAAAGTGTCCATGCTTTTCCTGACAAATGAGGGCGCTGTGCGGTCATGTTCAAATTGTGGCTCAAATTTTCTCAATAAAAACATATTTGTGAGATAAAACTTTGCTCATTGGCTAACTGTCATGTACTGAAACAATAAAAGAAAAGAACATTGACGACAGCAAAATATCCAAAATTCTAGCAAATTTTGGTGCTGAACAGTTGTAACATTGAGGTTTCTGCCTGAAATGATATCACACTTTTGGTCATGAATATGGAAATTTGCATTAGCATAACAACCAAAAAGGCACCAAAATGCCCTTAAAAATGGCAAAATGAAAATTGAATATCAGGTTAAATGGGACACAAAGGTGCATTTTCAAGGATTGCATTAAAAAAAATTACATTACATGGGCCCTTTAAGCTGCCGCTGGTAATTTGTGATGGAGAGGGGCTGCTGTCCTGTTAACTCATAGACTTTATCACTACTGATGTGGTCTCTCCACCCGACAGATTCAAGTGAACTACGTTCACTTTTAATAAATAAACATGTAAGGTTGAACAAAGAAAATGACTGGAGCAGAATGTGAACTTGCAATTTCCCAAACACTGTGTCATTGCTCTACTCCATTAATTATATCCAGCCTGAATTGTCAGTGTCGGTGAATTCATGGTACACTAGTCAGAAGCTGATGTATTTGTTCATTGGCTTTGACTAGCACCCATGCATGCACAAAGACATCGACAATTTGGGAGACTGGCAACATACTTCGTAGGTCACATATCATGGGCGTTGCCAGGATTTTTCTAGAGGGGGGCAAAACATATTTTTCCCAAAAAAATGCTTGTATTTCTCAACATATTCTTGATTTATCAGTTTTAGAGGGGGGGGGGGGGCAGGGACATTTTGCTTCCCCCCCCCCCCACCCCATTAAATTTACACCACTATGACTTTGCATCTCTTTTTCTTTTCATTTTTGGTTTTTTTTGGGTTTTTTTGTTGCTTTCTTGGGGGGGGGGGGGGGGGGGCATCCCCCCCCCTCCCCCCCGACGCCCATGTCACATATTCAATTCCCTCTGCATTCCATTTAAAAAAGGTAGATGGACAAACCTGTGTTACCAGGAACGGAGTGCCCATCTCTCTTTCGTTAGTGATTGGGCTAGACTCATATGCTGCTGTGGGGGGATCGCCACCCTAATTGAGGTAAAGCGCCTTACTTAATGGTACAACACGCATGGCCACGGCGGGGCTAGAACCCACAACCTCACGATCATGAATCCTGTGCTCCACCGCTAGACCACATGTACCCACTACGCAGTCAATTTGGATTTTTGTTGTAAAATCTGATATTTTTTTATCAATAATTGAATTGGTAGTTCTTCAAACATTGTACACCAGCAATAATAAGTGCATATAGGATCAAAAATCCTACATCCAAAGTTTAATTATCTGAGCTGGAACAGAACGTGCAGAAATGAGCAAAACTTTTCAGGTCGATGAATCTGATTTTAAACCATCACATGAAAAGTCCCTCCACTGCAAAATACTTGTTGGTCCAAATCTAGACACGTTCTAGTTGTTTGACAGCCTCAAGCAATCCCGCAATCACCCTATACTTGGCACGTTTCCCAATATTACAATGCTAGCCTAGCTGGCTGCTTCATACATAGTCTGCAGACCATGGCACCTACATGTCGCAGCAGGATTCTATAAACTTGGAATCTGACGGCGCCTGGCCCAGGGCATTCTCAAATCGCTTTGCTGCCACCCTCAAATAATGAAGTATCACGCTCAATCGCACAATTCTAGGGTGATCTTTGATGGCGCTGCCAGTAATTTAGGTAGCACCACAGCTCAATGGGGTTTTTCTTTGATGTATTTTTGCTTGACAGCTCCCCTTTTGAAAGTCCCCCGCGACCCATACCGTATTTCCTTATAGCTGCTTGGCTGGTGGGCGATATGTGGGGGAGAGAGATGTGATTGGCAATTTGTGAAGAAAGGTGCAAACAGGACAGACACTCCGCTAGACCATGGTCAGTCACCGCGCAGAAATATCACAATGCAAAAATACTTTTTTCCCCCTTTGCCAGTGGCTAGGCAGTGCAAAGGGGCTTCAGCATATCTCAACAAAAGTGAGTTATCTGTGATAAGGAGCTGGCGAATCCCAACACAGTTTTACTACTAACAAGGGGAGAAGGAAAACATACCCTCCCATTTACCATGACTTTACTTGATTTTTGTTGACCAAAATCAACCAAAAACATAGCTTCCAAAAATTACATATTGTTCCTACGTAGAATGACAACACTGCATCTACTGTAAATAAATGAATGACTAAGTACAGAAAAAGAGGTTTTTCTTTGAGTATGTCACGTACATGTACTTGTTTTTTTTTTCCTAGCGGACAGAGAGGCATGTTCAGCCTCCTACACAAAATTTATCAAATTAAAGCCTTTTACCAGAGGGCTGAAAACAAAGTCTAGTCTGTTGAAAAGCCCTGGGTGACATACATGCACAGATTTGTGCCCTCTAGAGTTCTAACAGCAGCTGATTTTTTTTGGGGGGGGGGGGAGAAGGAAAAGTAGGTCTCCCATCAAGGAACAATTAGCTCAAGGGTAGAGGAGCGTGGTTTAACAGGGGGATGTGCTGTGAACCTTCTTTTCTTTTTTTTAAATACAGCACAATGAACACTGGTAGTTTTGATGAAATGCACAGAAAGTAACATGGCAAATGAGATTTCTTGGCTTGAGTCAATTTAAACATAATTGTCATCTTTTTTTTCAAATTATATATTCAGTATTGAAAGACGATGTGGAGGGAAAGGATTTAGCATGCAAAGTTGACTTTAATACCTACCAGTTTAAAGGCATCTTAAAAAATTGAAAGTGTAGGAGAGTGTTGTCCACGTATTAAATTCCGAAAACACTAAATGCAACCCGTAATTCCCCCAGCCAATCAAATAGCTTGCATGCTATATTCTCCAATCACCCATGGGTATACTAATGTTTTTAGGACTAGGCTCAGACGTACTGCAGGCAGATTGTTTGCAGGGTCCCTTGGCAAACGGGGACCTGAAGCGAAGAACAAAAGCTCTGGGAATTCAGGCTAGTCATGACATTTTTTATCCAAACTCTTCAAAGGTATTCAAAAATAGCGAGGGATGGACAACTAATAAGACATGATTATTTTCAACCGTGTCTCTAAAATGTATAGCTTCTATTTTCTCAGCACACAACATGCAGAGGTTTGATATAGTAGTGATTAAACCCCAAATCACACTTTCTTTCCGAATGCATTAAAGTTTTATGCAGCGCAACTTTGACATTAGGTAATCATGGGTATGATTGAAGGGGAAACCAAAAACCCCAAAATTGAAAGAGTAAAAGTGAGTGAGGAGAGCACTATATCATTAAAGGATGAAAATGATGAATAGGATGCGACTTACCCAAATTGCCAAAAAAAAAATGTGTAGTTTTTGTTTATATTAATTAAATTTTGTTTAAATTTTAGATTTTATCTGCTTTTTAAACCCTTTCAAAAATTGGGCTTATTGCTAGGTGTATCTATTAATTTGCTGTATGATCAAGATATTGAATTTACACTTAATAAATATTTAATTATGTTTTTCCTGTATTTCATTTTTACGTTCAAGGCAGTCAGAGTGGAGAGTCCCTTTACGAGAAGCCAGTTTCATTTGGATAATCCATTTTGTTCCTATTTTTTCTTTGCTTTGTCCATTATCATTTATAATCGGACATAAAAAAACCCATAAATATAAACTTGCAAGCTATTTTAATATGTAAAAACTTTTGTTCAGCACTAAACCTGCTGATAGTTTCAACTCAACAATGACATTAAAGCCCATGTTTTCCATAAAAGATCATCCAACCTACAAGACTCTTTCCTTAATGCTCCCACTATACCATTCCTCTCAAAAATAAACCTTACTTCACGCTTCCTCCAGCAATTCCCGGAGTTCTAGAATAATCAATGACCACAGTGTCAACATTTTTCCTGCGACCGTTATTCTCCAAATATTTCCATTACCATAGCTTCCCCCTCTCAGCCCTCGTTCAAATTCTTCAGCCTCTTGTAGCGTGATGAAGGAGTAGTTCAGACTGAACACGCCGTAGCCGTGGTGTCTTTGCTTTCCGTTCAGATGATACTCAAAGCGGAGGTTGTGAGTGGACGACAAGTGTGGTGCGGGCCTCTTGAAGCTGCAGTAGCGGGAGGACTTCTTGCCGTCGATAATCTGTGGCAGTGACAAGAATTAACAACATGGATTCAGGCAGGTAGCAATGGAGGCAGTGATTTGATGTAGCGCAAAACAAGCATTTGAGCAATTCCGCTCTACAAATAGGCAATGTTCTTGAGCAAATGAAGCGTTTTAACAACGCCATGCTGGAGGTACAAACAGACGTGAATCCAAGGTTCTTTACATGTAGATTACATTTTGCTATGATTCAAACATAACATATTATAATCTACAAAATTTAGATTGAAGTAAAGTTGCTAAATTTCTTCAATGCACGTGATATTTAGATTGTTTCTACCCAGGAAATTGCATTGATACAGTGCCCTCATTTGCTAAAACAAACATATCGGCTTTTAGAGTCTAATCATATGTTTAAGTACCACGTGATCATGCGGTTTCCCTGTGATTGGCTACCATTGCAGTAGGCAAGTGTTTGGTTAGCAACCACATTGTGCGTTGGATACTAGACAGTATAGGTTTTTTTTCCCCCCATAAAATAACCGTAAATTCATTATCCAATGGCACAGTGGTCACTACCTGTGCTGTGTACAGTTGTTATAATCGTACTGACCCAGAGGGTGTTGGCTCCGAGTTTTACTCACAGTTTTGCCATCCATCACAGCTTTAAAGGCTTGCGCACTACCTACTACACAAGGCTCTGTATGATATTTGCCGACTGCAATGGCTACTCTGACTTTCCGGTACCCGGATGTAGGCCGGGTCAAATAGGTCAGTGAGAGAGCCCGAATGAGTCTCATGGAGCACATGTGAACTCAATCTACATCTATCATTGGATAAGGTGAAAAATTCATTCCAATTTGGATTTTGAGTGTACTGGTTAAACAACTTTATTTTTGAATGTTTATATAAAAATATTTCAATAATTTTAAAATTGATTCAAGAGAAGTGGCGATATTGTGATTTTTAATGGTTTTCTTGGTTTGTTGCGATGTATTAATTTTTTTGCAGCAGATGCGAGATGTATCTTATTAAATTATCACAAAGAAGTCCATGATACATGTCAGAAAGCGTACTTCATGCTATTTTCAAGTATTTATTCAAAAGGCCAATTTTGCCAAAAGACTCATTTTACATTTGTGACTAGTTCATAAGGTTCAGATATGTCCAGATTTAAATCTCAAGAAATTAATTGTTCAAGAAAACAACTTATCAACAAACTTTGTAAAGAGCATTTAAAAATGATTTATGGGAATACATTTTCAGACAGCATGAGCTCAAAGCCAAGAGCAAGTTGGAGTAAGGACTACATATTGCTACCTGTAGTTTGACTAACTTCACTTGAATGCAACCTTGGACAACCCTAGTCGACTATTTGGAACCAGAGCCCAGAGCACAGTCTCGTCAATGGTTACCAATAACAGTGTGTACATTAATTCTCAAGGAGCCAGGATCAAGAATTTTCTTGCCGATGTTTTGACCATCGTTTGACAGGAGGCATTCACACGTTGCTAGTAGTGCGCAGGCGTAAGTGACTTCACAAATCAAACACTAGCCCATAAATGGTCTAAAAACCTAATGCCAAAAAGGTTAACAAGCAAAAAAGAAAACCACAAAAACATGACCAGAATAGATGGCACACCCACTAATAATGATAACAGTGAAATAGAACAAAAAACACTCATATCGAATTCCAAACAGATTCACATTTGAATGTTACTTGTATGATTTAGTGCAATAAACAGGGTATGAGTGGCATATCACAGTTTTCTGCATAAAATTTTGAAATTGAACATAATTATATTTAAATTGATAATCTAATTGTCTTAGAACTGTTATGCCGTAAGTTGCAAGATAAAAGAATAGTAACAAATGTTAACGCTACTGTAAAATATTATTTTCAACGTACATTTTGTAAAGCCTACAATTTAACCAATCAGGCACTAAAGTAATGCACATAATTAGTACTGTTCTTAAGCAACATATTCCTGAAACCAACCCAACAGGGCTATCTGCTCCGTTCACAAGTACCCCCTCACAGTCAAAGAAAGTACAGTTGGGGGTGACCAAACGATGCCATCTTGCCTGACTGCAATATTTTGCCCAGAAGCACGGCCACTGCGTGTACATAGTACAAATCCCCTGGTGTGCGTGCGACACACACAAGGAAAGGTGTGCCCGCAACAACCAGCAAAATGTATGTGTTCCGCCCATGGGGCGTCGTTGCTAGGTAAAAGGGCGCCCTCTTTTGTTGGCGCACAGAGCCCATATTCTAAGATAAACCATAAAGGATCTTATTCACATGTATCAAAATAGCCAAAGTATCGAGTAGTCATATTTCATGTATTTCTTAAGTCCTATAGGGCTAGCTAGACTGCCTATCAGGATGGGTAGAGATAAAGGATCAGACAGGATCAGGTGTGGGGAAAGTAACTCAGTAAAAAGAAAAATTGAATTACGTGCGTCACACACAAGGAACGGTGTGCGCGCAACAACCAGCAAACTATGTGTTCCGCCCATGGGGCATCGTTGCTAGGTAAAAGGGCGCCCTCTTTTTTTGGAGCACGCAGCCCATATTCAAAGATAAACCATAAAGGATCTTATTCACATGTATCAAAATAGCCAAAGCATCGAGTAGTCATATTTCATGTATTTCTTCAGTCCTCTAGGGCTAACTAGACTGCCTATCAGGATGGGTAAAGATAAAGGATCAGATAGGATCAGGTGTGGGGAAAGTAACTCAGTAAGAAGGAAAATTGAATTACCAGAAAAGTCAGTATCAATGCAACACAGGTTATCTAGGTTTTCAGGGGCTAGTTTGAAAGCCAGTGGAATATTTTGCTGTGTATGAAAGTTGATACTTTTGCCTTCGGGAATTGAATTATCTTTGGAGATTGTAGTAGAATGAACCCCATGTCTTCACCATTTGGATGAAGTGACGAATCTGTCCACACGGCAGCTAAACCAAGTGTTGGGAAAATAAAAGTAGGTCGATTTTTCAAATCACGATTTTTATACATGAGTAAGTTTTTCCTGTCCCTGTTACATCTGGCATATGATTTTGTAAAATTGTGGACGCACTCCTTCATGCTTTCATACTTAACGAGTGATCATGCAAGAGCAAACTACCTAGCCAACAAATGTAGATAGTTTGAAGTAAATTTTAATGATACTTGAATGGCAAATGACAAAATTCAGACAAACAGGGACAGAAAATGTTTCACAATTTGAACCTTAAATTAATTTATAGAATGACCCATACATTGTACTTTTCTTCCCCCCCAAAAATTGAAAATATGTAACCAGTGGCGAAGCCATGGGGGGAGTGGGGGGGGGGGGGGGGGGGGGCGACAGCCTCCCCATGAAACCTTGTCGCCCCCCCAGTCCCCCCCCCCCACTGAGATTTTGAGTTTCTAAAAAAATTATCATTGATCTACATGACGCCCCCCATGAAATGTTCCAGCCCCCCCAGCGCCCCCCCACTGAAAAATTCCTGGCTACGCCACTGTATGTAACTGATGAGCGATAGCCTACTTGTTTGATAGCCCTTCTGTGTTTTCTTTTTCATAAAAAGCATATTAATTTTGGAGATATCAATTACTGAACAGTTTCTTCACTTAAGTTTGTCAAACCCCCCAAAAAACTGAGTTGCTGCACGTTTGCTACTTTGTGTAATTAGAGTAAGTAACAAAACGCCACATGTTAAAGTTTTGAAAATCAACAGATTATATACAGGAAGAGGACATCATAAAATGTAAGAACAGCCACTGATCCCCAGATACCTGTTTTGGACAGATTTGTCACTTCATACGAACAAGTAATGATTTACATGCAGACACAACAATTACTTAGCTTAAATTGTTCCCTTAGGCAGCAATTAATCTCGTACTGTTACTGACACTTCAGTCTGATTGACAGTTAATATATCTCCCTGATGACATTAAATAAAGAAATCTGAGCATGTCCTGAGATTAAATGACTGCTGCAGGCTAGCACTGTGGTATTATGTGACTGTTGATGCGTAGTGTAATACAGAGGGAAAAGGAAGGGAAAAACATGGAACATACTTGCAATATAGTTGAAGCCCCAACTAAACTTCCATCAGGCTCCTCCCAAAGTTGTTAAAGCTATAGTCCATCATTTGCAGCTATCCAAAAAGTAACTGACGTAATTATTGTTGAAAAAGATACTTGGTTGAAAGATAGTAAAGAAATTATTCTTTCTGGCAAGCTGTCATTTTGAAGAAATCAACGAAAGAAGGCCTTTCCAACGGTGCGTCTTAAGACGCACCGTTGGAAATTTCCGTTAGAAGTTCATTTTTTTATTCGGCGAAGCATGCGCAAGCTTTGGCACGACGCACACGGTTGCTATAATTCGTCGGATCAGAGCTGCAATCGGCTCAGTAAGACCGTGTCTCGGACGCTGAATTCAGGCCCAATTCAAAACATGATTCAGCAATTTTTGATTTGAAATCGAGATCCTAGAATGCTGTTTTTCTCGGAATATACAGCTGAAGCTGAGCTGAAATTTCATCAGGTTAGTTGTTCAGCACCCTTCTTTAGATTTTGAGCACTTTTGTTGCTTCAAACGAACAAAGTGCAGAAATTACAAATGATGGACTATACCTTTAAGACTAAAATTTAAGACTAAATATTCCATTGCACAACATTAAATACTCATAGCAAAGTGAAAAGTATTTCTTGAACAGGTTGGCCTGGCCTTCCAACACTGTGACCTGGGTTCGATTCCTGTCTGGGCCATTATGTAGATTGGGTTTTCAGTCCCTGCCTGATTCCGTGGGTATTCCTCAGAATATTCTACTAGGGTTTTCCTCCCACCTCTAAAACTACCATTTCTTTCCATCGTCTTCTCTTTACTGGGCCCCATGGGACCAGTGGATTCCAATGGGCTACCCAGTTAAAATAAAAATTAAGTGAATTAAAAATTGCTTTGGTAGATAAAGGTATTAAAAATTGTAACTACTGTATATTGCACAGCTAAACACAGTTTTGTTAACAATGAAATTGTGCTAATTTGACAATGTTCACCCAGTGATATTAAATCCATATTTTTACCTGCAGCCAAAAAACTGTATTGATTTGTCCACCTGCATGTTTATACAGCGTTTCATCCCTGGAAGCTTGCCTTGCCTGCAGCAATTAGTGCACCGACCAGCTTAGCAGTCTGCAAGTTGGCTGTGCATATGTCACAGTGAGTGACAATAAAGTGTGTCAGAGTGTGATTCCTATTTCATTACAACCACATTGTGTGAAGAACACGAGGGGAGAACTTTCTGAGATGTGATATTACTGCGGATGCCTTGGGCAATCTTTGGAATGTGTTGAGTGATTTACATAATCACAAAATAGTATAGAAAATTCCTTTGCCGGATATTTACATCAAAAGTGCTTCTCCTAACTTTTATCGAGGGTCAACAACTCAACCAATACTATGGGACATCCATAGCAGCCATGGCAATCAATTTGAAAAATTGGCAATCGTACATTTCTGTCATTTTTATATGTAAAAAAAGGACATTTGGGTTTTTTACTAGTCAAAAATGTGGTATTTTTTGGCCAAATCTATCAAGGTTTCACTTTGGAGTAAACATTATCATATGGTCACATGATCTATAATGTATACCGAGAATCTAATATGGCAAATATACATTGAAGACCACTTTATTTTCACCTTTTCTACACAATTTTCTTTGTTTGTGAGTTTTTCATAGCTGTCATTGCACCCCAAAAAAATGCAAAGCAGTTTTAGTGTTACCATTTGAGCTGATTTTGGTTGGAAAAACAAACAAACATATTTGGGGGAACAAACAAAATACAGTTTTGCCCCCAAAATAGGTTGTAGTGCCCTCCAAAGATGACATGTACCAATTATTGTTTAATTGGATTATGTTCTAAAGAATATTTGTACCACATTGGAAAGCTGTGAATGGAAAATGAAGAAATTAAGTCTGAAATACTTAACTTGTTTGTTCAAAAATGGGCAAAAAAGCTAAAGGGTACTCTTGTAGCCACAACACAACCAAATAACGTCATAGACCACATACTGTTAGCATTCGGAAAGTCAGCAAGAGCATATAAAAATTGGAGGTGCAATGTCCCGAGAAGACCCACAAAATAAATACCCTGGTCCTGATAAGGTAGAATTAATCTCTTTAAAAAAACTTAACAAAAACAAGTGCCTAAAAGATATGGCATTATGTGAAGAACAAATTATGCACTGAAATTCTAAAGGTAATTCTGTTCAAAACCTATACAATCAAAATACAACTTGAAGGATTTTCAGCAGTGTTTTGGGAAAGCATAATTCAACTCACTGGATTATGCCTGTGTGACAACAGGTCATTGTATGATGTCTTTTTGATTATGGCTTTCAAAAATATGGTGAACTATAGATGATTCATTTTTTTCACATCAACATTAACATAAACCTTAGGAATGAAAAACATTGGCAGTCATCAAAAACACTCAAGTTACGCTGAGCAAAACTACAAAATGTATGCGCAATGAAGGCGCCAGACAGCAGATATGTACTTCAGCACTGAGGATGGGAAAAGTGCACAGGGAGCCAGGTAAAATTAAGCGGGGAAAGGTTGCACTAATTGACCAGGCAATGTATCATACAACTCATGCATCAATCTTGATATCAAATTACATGCCATCTATCTGTGATGATGAGGTCAGTCTAGCACAGCCCATCAACTGGCTGGCTGACTCCTTGTGCTTTGAATGAACTCATCCATCAATTTGATGGATGAATACATTTATGTCTGTCAGGCTGACAACAAGAAAGAGAAAGCTGCGATGGGATGGTGGAAGGGTATAGGATGGAAGGCGGATGATTAAGAAGGGGGTGTTGAGTTGAATTGCTGAGGTGGGGGTGTAGGGTTCATGCATGTACATGGGGCTTATGTGCAGATGTGTACAATCAGTAATCACATGGTTAAGTTGATGTGTTAATGTTTATTCAGAACAAATTAAAAATGCATGACAGGAGACAGTAGACCTTATACCTTGCAGGTATCTCAGAAGATGTTGTTTGTCATATTTATTAAGTAACAAGGAATTCCTGAAAGGAACTTTCCTTTGAGGGGTGAAGCAACTAAGGTCCATGAGAACAATTAAAAGGAAGCGAAGTCATCGGGCAAGTTTGAGCAAGGACCAGTGGGTAACTAGTCATTGGTTTGTGTGACGTACCTAGCACATGTGCACTGAAGTTGCGAACGACTCTAGTCGAACTAGTGGCATGTCAACGGCCGTCAAAAAATGGTGGTCGCACAATTATTCAACAGTTGTTGTTTTCCCTTTATTTACACAAACAATAGCGATTGTGTACACATAGTTTAAGACATCTTGCATAATTACCAATATTATTGTACAATGGTGGGACAAAATTGACCTGATTGCCAGCTAAGATGGAAAAACTTTACAATGAAAATGAAATTTAGCGATCACAGTTTCGTTTCCGCTATTTTTGTTGTAGTTGGTCCTCTCTGCACTATGCTATGCTATTGTTAACCAGCTATAAATCATTGCGCGACCAGCCGCGGTAGGCTGGTTCCAAATAGTCGGCTAGCTTAGTCAACCATCGTCGACTAGACAGAGTTTGGGCTAACTTTAATCAAACTATAGTTAACCGTTGGTCAACAATAATTTTTGCGTGAACTTGCCCTAAGATGTTCTGGAACTGGAACAATGATTTCTGACAGCTTGCTGAACATGAATGAACCGAACCACTAGTCCACTCACCTTTAAATAATTCTGTTCATCATTGCACATGTTGACCGACTTGTTGACAGAGTCTAAAAAGAAATCAGTGAAGACCACTTTGATGCGGCCATGGGGGCCTAAATGTTCCAGCTCGTAGAAATAAATGTGTGAGCTTGACGTGGGATGGCGTAGGGGAAACCCAGGTGAGGTGACGGCACCCGATGAGGAGCAGGAATAGTTGCCTTGGATGAAGTTAAAGAAATATTTATAATCTGTGGAGATGAAACAAGAAGGAATAATTACTGGAGGTTATCATTACTATTATTAGTGTGGAAATTCATGCAAGGGTATTTTTGGGGCTTAGAAATGTTTTGGACATTTGTTCATCGTAAAACTGCATGTATACGCTCAGCACATGTGCGCATACTTTGTTCAGGCCCGTTCCCTGATCCCAGACTGGGGGGGGGGGGTCTTTAAATTCTTAAGTGGAACTTTAATTTTATGCGAGCGTAGAGCGCGAAGCCCCAGAAGGCATGGGGCCTGCTCAAGCCTAGTTCAGGAATATATCTTGAAACAATTGTAACATGTCTCCCAAATTCCAATAAATCTGCAATATGAAATAGTGTAAATGTTTTTTGGGACCACCCTGTACAATGTTGAATTGTCCAAAATGTACGTCTGACATTGCCCAATTACAATACTATTTGTTCCCTTATACCAAGGGTGTCAATCGCTTCTCAAAAGTGGGAAAGGGGGGAGGACATACCTTGATCACAACTAATGCGAGCACAAAGTCCTAACTAGCATGGCGTTCGGGGCCCTCTTAATGGCCCTGAAAATTTAGGATTCTAGAAGCTCTGTGGTGAGATCTGAGGCAATTTCTGACCACTTTGACCAATTAGCATTTTTTTTTATTAAAGCAAAAGATAATCATTTAAACATCACTATCGAGTTTGGAGTCATGGAATAAGCTTTTCTGAGCTACACAATCATATGCAGGCTACAATTTTTATTCAGGGACGAAAAAATGGGGGGGGGGGGAACAATCAGTATGATATCCCCCCTACTTTAAAAAGTTTCCCCCTCACTTTAAAAAGAATCCCCCCTGTCCCTCACCGATTGATGTCCATGCCTTATACTAGTATCACAGGGGACCCTGTGTCTTTACACCTGCTAATGTGACTAATGTTATTTGACAGGCCGAAACACGAAGAATATTCAGACAGCCTCACATATGGTGCCACGTACATGTACATACCGGGGAAGAGAATTGCGCCCTCACGGTGCTCAGCTCTAGTCCAAAACATAACAGGCACATAAATTATGACATATGGCGCATGCTGACCTTTAAGGATTACATATCTCTGATTTCATTTCATTTGATGTGATTTACGTCCAAACATCACAAGATCAAATTCTAAACTTTTTTTTAAATTGCAAGTATACAAATATTTAGGTGAGGGACCTGGCTGCATGGAAGCTTGAATAATGTACATGAACAGACCCAGATTGAACTCACATTCCGTCCTTTCAATTTTTACACATATTTCTATCAAAACATTAACGCAGATAGTTTGTGCTACTATTATGATACTATGAGAGGCTATTGTGCTTTTATTTGCACAAGAAACATATTTATTAATGCATTTGGAACATTATGTTATACAGTTTGCTCAAACAATGAAATATGATTTAGTTCTATTGTGCCAGAGACTACATGTATTTCTATCATTTAGTTAATTGATGTACCAAAAGCCATTTGGAAAACTTATATGTCCTTGGTATTTAAAGGCATTTAGGATCATTTGTAAACACTCAAAAACATAACTGCCTAAATATCAAACACTTGATTGCAAGTAAATAATAGTATGAAGCATCCTGTGTAATCGAGTTCGAGTTTGAGGTTGAGTTTGGTATGTTGTCATTCTCAAGAAAAGATGAATTTCGTATCAGGACCTAACCATCACTGACTTTTCTCAAATACGACATCTGTTAAACAGCCGCATGCTAGCTGTTGACTTCATGCATATGCTCAGGTACGCTAGGCGTATGTACATGTATATCACTTTCCCACGACAGAGCTGGCACTCAGGTACCCCCTGTGACCTATGGGTTCTATGCACGACAGATTCCAAGAGCTGCACAGTTTTGACTTTTTTGGACCGGGGTTTTTATCATGTTTTTTTCAGCAGCAATGGACAAAAAACATTAAACAGCTCAGTGGAACCATGGAGCTATAAATAGCTCCATGGTGGAACAATGTCTGTTTTTAAATTACTAGCCCTTAAATCAATCCATTTCATGCAACTGATAATATGCCTTTAAATGTAAACCGTACAACATGTACAGGTAGAGATCTTTGCTCTTGAATATACAAATTATATATAAGAATTCTTACATTTTTGTATTGTAATTAAGGATTTCTGTATTCTTTGTAAACAGGTAAGAGAACACACTAAATACATGTACACTATAATAAATTGAGTTCCTGTTATTTCATCTTGAATTACATCATACTAGATATACAGCAATGACTCCTATTAGTGGTCATTGCTGTATATCTAGTATGACGGAATCTAGTAAAATGGTATTTACCTGCAGGCACGGATCCAGAGGGGGGGTGTTGGGGTCAAAACCCCCACAGCTCTGTCAAAAAAAAAAAATATCATACAAATTCTTTAAAAAATAAGTCCCCCCCCCCCCCCAATTATACTGGTATAATGTCCGCCTGTTCAAAATACGGTACACCATTCTGTAATCTAGTGTTAATAATTGTCAAATTCGAACAGCGCCCCCTATTGAAATATGGTACCCCCAGTTTTTGATTTTACGGAGGCCAAGTGTCCGGAGAAAAAAACCTGTGTACATTTTCAGATTTTTTGCTGATGAAACCCCCCCCCCTGCGAAAATTCCTGGATCCGCCCCTTTTTACAAATATCTCAGGGCTAGAGTCTGTTAAATTTCATTTCAAAAGTGGTAGAGTGCGTGCTCATACATTCCAATAATTTACTACCCTGACTGTGACTTCCTTTGGATAAGATGTTTGTTCAACTTGTTCAAATGGTAGGTTTAATGTAATGCATTATACCCTTTTTAATCATAGAGTGGTTAGGCCAAAAAAAAAAATAGTTCTGCTTCCGATTACATGGCATTCGAAAATAGGGTAGGTAGGTAGGGAATTTTTTTTTGGGGGGGGGGGCATTTTTGTGTGTGTACGATCATATGGAGGCGTCTGCGTGAAGTCAAGGCTAAAAGGTATAAAGTGATGGTTTTGGGTGTTTTTTTTCCTCATTTTCGAATAAAAAAATTAGGGTAGGGGCTGTCAGAATAGGGTAGGTAGGGAAACTATAGGGTAGCAGAACTATTATTTTGTTTGGCCTTACGTATATCCCCTTCAATAAATAAACAACACAAAGCTTAATAACTCTTCCCTTTGATATGGTTTACATCATGATGCTTTATTAGATTAATAACCACCGTCGATAGCTCTGTTTTTAGAGCAACGACCAATATAAACGACCAATATGAAACACTGAAATTCAGTATAGACCGGGTCTAAATCTTATACCTGAAATTTTATGAAAACCGCGCATGAATCCTGTATCCTTGGCTGTGGCAATCCATATAGGCTTATTTCATTTGACTAATTATTGACTTGCCATTATCCCTAGAGCTAATGGTGCAGTAATGACACTCCTAATCATGGGCAGGCCTGCCAAGGCCACCATTCTATATGACAGAGGACTCCTAATAGGATCAGCCTGTGGGTAGTGGACTTGATGGGAAACAGGCCTCAGTCTAGAAAATGATAATTTCATTTTGAACCCTGTGGTCAAAGCGCTGAAAGATCTATTTTGAGACATAGTCATTCATTTTAGTCAAATGTACCGCAAGTGTATTCCAGAGATATACACCTGGAATCGAAGCTATGTGATCGCGAAACTTTGCACATATAGGGCAACATGCTTACCTTACTATTAGTCTAATACTAGGCTCATCAGCAAACTTGACATTAATTTACAGTATAATTCAACCAAGCACATGTTTTTTTGGGCAAAAAGCATATTTGTGAAATCATGGCACCATTCTCAATAACATTTTTTTAATTTGTTATGCAAATGTCCTTTGTTTGTATGTGTGTGTAGCCTGTCTGTAATTTGTGTTCAATGCTCAGCTTTTTGTTTTGTATCTTGCCTCTCCTTGTTTATATTTATGCATAACTTTATATAAAAAAAGGAAAATGAAGTGAGTCATTCCTTCAATTCCCTTCGCACATTAAAAAAAAATGAAAAAAAGAAGAAGACACAATTAAGTTCAGAGTTAAAAATGTTGAGTATAAACTTGATCTCCTCCGCCAACTCACCACAGTGCGTATGATTAACAATGCATCAAGTTTGTTTATTGATTTATAACTTATTGCCTTTCTGTGCCAATCTGTTTATGTATAAAACATTCCAGGAAGGAGACTGCCAAAAAGTAATGTTAACTCAGAACCGTGTAGCGTTATAGGTCACGGCAACGTGCAGCTATGCATCGGGGACACCAATTGCAATTGACGGCAGCAACAGGGGACAGCTTGGACGTGAATCTAGTCCGCCACACAGCTTATTGATTGGTTGTTCATGTGCGCGTGCAGTTATCAAGGCTTGCTCCTGGCTTGTCCCCTGTGATGCCCGCTGGGGAATTCACCAACTAGAATACAGCCAGAAGTACACACAGGTTGTTTTTATTTTTTTACTCCCACCTTCCGGCGTTTTCCATGATTTCCCAGGCCACCGTTAGGCATGAAATATGGATAGGTTTATCCATGAGGATGGTGCGGAAGTGAACTCTTTTATACACAGGTCTACAACAGTACCACAATAATGTGCTGTGATTCTTGCCGAATAAATCATCATTTAATGACCATTGGATAAGAGATATCTTTGTCTAATGGAAGTATACATGCTCTGCCATTAAGTAAGTGCACTTGGGGACAGTGATAAAAGGAACCGAATGGCTTTTCATTCCAAGCAGACTTAATCAAATGCAACAGCAACTCTAAATCAGCTCCCTCCTACGGGGCGATGGTAGCATTCATATTCAGGCTTTCTGAAACCTCAGGCCTGGAGATTTGACTTCAAAATAAGTTCTTGCTTTGTGTGCACTTCCTGATCAATACCATGCAAGTCAGATGCAACTGAGTTTGTGATGTGTACTTATGAAGGAAGCTGGGGAACATTTACACAAAAAATCCTGATTTCTTCACAACATAAGATAACTTTGGTACCGT